ATAAATTTGAGAAATAATTTTTTTTAGCGTATTTTTTTCAAGTTTTCAAACAGGTTTTTGTAAGTTTTATATTTTTTTTCGTTTTGATATGTTTTTTTTTTTTTTTTTAATATTTTTCATATATTTTTTGTTTCTTTTTAGAAGATTTAATAAGTCCTTTCGTAAACCATGGACTTTGTAGACTTTTAAGCTCGGTTTTAATTTCCTTCATCGGAAACGTTTTGTCGTACGCATTAAAAAACTCGTTGTAAAAAAATTCATAGGCTTTATTTGTATCTTCACAATTATGTAGTTGTTTCCAGTTTACTTTGAGTAAATAATTTCTGAATTCCTTAATATTAAATTTAGTAATCTGCCGTTTTATTTCTGTTAGTACTTTGCTTTTCTTTTCTTTTTTATAAAAATCAGATATAAAAAAAATTGGAAAGTGGTCGCTTATATCGCTTTTTATGATTCCGCTTTGAATGTTGCATATTGTGAAAGTGCTTGTAAAAATATTATCAATGAGAGATTCAGTAAGAAGAGTTACACGAGTAGGCTTGCTTATTAAAGGAATAATGTTGTATTGAAAAAGAGAGTTTAAGAAACGTCGTTATCAGTTTTAACATTAAGAAGATTTAAGTTAAAGCCCCCCGTGATGTAAACTTGTTTATTTTTTACTTTTTTTAAATACCATTGGTGGTCTATACAAAGCAGATACTAAAACTTTTTTTTATGCTGATAATTTCTATTTTCTGATAAGCGATTAACTCGTGAATAAAAATCCATACACCGCCACCAACACCACCACCTCGAGTTAGGTGGATTGCTATATAACCTGGAATTGGACAATTATTTTTTTCATTTTTGCACCATGTTTCGATTAAGCATATTACCATAAACTCAAAATTTATATTTTTTAGCATTGATTTAAAATTTTCAAAGTTTTTACTCATACTACGTATGTTTAAAGTTAATGTTGAAAATAACGATTGTGACGCATTCATGTGTAATTTTCTTACTCGAAATAAAACTTTTTTCACATCCAAATAACTTATTTTTCTAAAACTGAATTCAACTCATTTTACAAAAGTTTTACATCCATTTATATAATATATCTACCCACAAAATCAACATTACAAAAACCGCTTAATACATAATTGCAATTAAAATAATTACAGGGTTTTGCAAAGTTATAAGTGCAGGTTTGCAAAGTTATAAGTGCATTTATAAAATTAATTTTAACTCTTATATTTTAAATATCAATGGAAAGAAAAGTACGAAAAACAATTACAGAAGAAATTAAAAATACGATTATTTCAATGAGAAATTGTGAAAAATATTCAATCAAGGAAATATCCAACGCTTGTAATTTAACTCGAAATGCTGTTGGTCGTGTTATAAAAAATAGTGGTAATAATATACCCTTCACGTCATCTACAGTAAAAAGAAAAGAAACGTATAAAATCAAAAATTCTATAAATACAAACATTGAACAGACAATATTTAATTTCGTGGTCTGTAACAATGCCGTAGTTCAAAAAGAAATTCAAACGCAAATTTTAGAACAACATGGTAAAAACGTTTTAATCTCGTTTGTTTCCCGTAAATTAAAGAAATTAAATTAAACGAAAAAGATTAGCAACATTCCTCAAGAAATAAAGGACAAAATGTTAGCCTCATGTGCTTAATTTCCAATTTAGGAGTTGAGTGTTACCAATACAAAAGCGGCGCATACAATACACAATCATTTATTGATTTCATCAACAACAAACTAGTACCATTCTTTGCAGTAAATCCAAATAAAATTCTTATCCTAGATAATGCAAAATTTCTCTTAGTAATTGAAGAACTGCAGCTGCAGTACTTCAAAAAAATTAAATTGTTAAAATCCAATTTCAAATCCACGAGAAATGCTAATCCCGATATGACTGTTAAAGAAATTCTAGAATATATTTTATCACCTGATAATAATTATAGTCAACAGTGCAATGTCTTTTATATAAATATGAGAAGATGGTTGGAAAAGGCAATAAGAAGAATTTATCTAATTATAATATTTAAAATGATTTGTTTATTTTTTTTAATAATGTATATTTTTGCATGCCTTTTTAAAATATTATGATTAAATAATGTATACTATTTTTCAAAAATTATGAAAGTGTTTAATCTGGAAAAGTTATTGATATATAACAATATGCTAAAAATAAGCTAATAACAATAAGTAAAAATGTAAAGAATTTTCACTAACTAATCACTTTTTAGAATAATAAAAAAAAAAAGAAAAAAAAAAAAAAAAAACATTGATTGCTATGCTGTAATTTAATTTAATATTTTGCGCAATATTATTAAAGCTAAAAAAATAATTTCCAAAAAAATGTATATGCACTTATAACTTTGCAAGCGCGCACTTAAGGTGAGTTTCCACTCGTCCGTTTTTTCATGGGAACGGGATAGGAAAGGAAAAAATAATCACGTGAGCATGCGTAGTTTTTCTTCTGACATTAAAATTTATACTACGCATGCCCACGTGATTATCTTTGCCGTCACTTTCCCGTTCCCGTGAAAAAACGGATGAGTGGAAACTCGCCTTTATAACTTTGCAAACATGCACTTACAACTTTGCAAAACCCTGTAAAAACTATTAGTAAAAGAAACCACGTAATTGCCGTAGAACCGTTCTAGAACTTTCTGCACTTTATTTACACTCCTCCTTAGTCCTTAAGGATCATACAAATAATAATCGTCGTATTTTTGGGGCATGCGTCGTTTTCAAGTATTTCGTGGCAAAGGCACTTTCTTGGAATCCATTTTCGGCTTCACCATTTCTTTGTAACACGTCTTCTTTGCTTGTCTCTAACACATTTTTAATTTGCTCAACATGGTTTTTCGCGTTATCTCGACCAGTCTGCGCTCACTTTAGAAATATCGCATGGTTGAATGTTATTTCGATATCGGATATGTTTTACGTGACACGGATTGCCATTAACTTCGACAACTTGTTTCGAAATATTTCCCGTTAGTTTTGCTGGCTGCCACTTAGTATGGCACTTCGCATTTGAAGGTTTCAACCAAACATTATCACCATTTTTAAACACTTTATTTGTGTCAGCTTTTGTCGGAAGATTATCTTTTTTCAATCTTTCACATCACTTCGATACCTGTATATTTTCTCCATCGGGCTTGCATTGTTTTTGTTAGCTGAAACGTTGTACCAATATACTCTTCCGGTATTGACATTTTTTACCTTTCTGCAATTCTCTTAATTGTACGATAATTTCTTTCCACAATTCCATTTCCTTCGGATAATAAACTTCGTCAAACTAACCACTCTTCTTTTCAAAAGGCTACAAACTGCACGTAACCAACCACATACTGGTAAATGACCTACCAACTGCCCACAAACGGAAAACACTACTCTTCTACTTAACTTTTTCGGCATTGCGTCGACTTGATTCTCCCTGGACAAGGTCAACTTGTCACCAATCTTGTACACACGCAATCCCAAAATACGAACCCCATTACTCCAATCTGTTCACCTTCTTTACTCTCCAAACCATATTTTTCAAAATGTCTTTTGACATAATCAAAACTTACTACTTCCTCATTGACAAAAATATCGTCCACGTAAGCGGATGCTCCTCTCTTCACCAATTCATCTTGATCAATAATGGCACTCACAACAGATTTCATGATCATTAGAGCAACATTTAATCCAAAACCAAGCTGTGTCAAGCAATACCTTTTGTTTTGAAAACCACTGTTTGGAATGGCTAAAGAGATTCTTCAGTTTTAATTGGAGAGTCTTGAGTAAATCAATAATTTCTGGTTTCTTTCCCATTCTTCTCCATTTCCTCAGCTTCTCAACTCACACATCTGCATCTTTTGTATACGTTTCAGTAAAACTGTTAGCTTCTCTTAAGTCCAAGTGACAAGTCTGACTTTATTATCTTTATTTCGTTGGATAAAAGCCATTAAAGGAATTTGTCCTTTGGGTGGTCCCATCTTATTTTCGTCATATTCAATTAACCATTTAAGATTGATCCAATCCCGTAGTTCGTTTTCATATTCTGCTCTTGCATATTTTGGTATGATGTATTGGGCAACTTTGTTAACCAACTGGTTGGGGCCTTCTCCATCTCTCCATTTTCATTTAACTTCCCATTTTTATACCATTAAATATTGCTTCATAATCTTGTTTTTTAATTTCAATTTTATTGACTTTTTCTTTCTTTGAGACTGCTATTCCACACAAGCTGAACCCAAACTTTACTATTCCAAACGGGGAAATAAAAACTCCTCCTAGCAATTTAATGGAACTCATTCCCAACATCATATCAATTCCAAACGGTTGAAAATCCACAAAAACTTGTCTTGTACTTGAATACCATCAACCTCAATAGTGACAGCCGCTAATCCATTACATCGATGAAATTTGCCGTCAAAATTTACTACCTTTGGAGGATTCTGGGATTTATTTTGATATCTTGACAACAGTTTTTGATGTATAATTGTCTTTGAACAACCCGTGTCTACCATAGCTGTCGCTAACAAACCATTAACTTTTAGATGAATAATAGATAATGCGCTAATTCCGCCATTGTTCAGGAGCGAGGTAGCGCACATTCCTCGCTCCCGCACTCGTTCCCCTGCTTCTTTAAGCATTTTGCAGCCACGTGTCCTTCATTCCCTCATTTGAAACATCGAAAAAAATTCTTCGGAGCCAGATTCTTTGCAAAGGGACAGTTTCTCGCAATATGATTTAACCTTTTGCAGTTGTAACACACCAACGGAACTTTTGTGGCTTGATTTCGAAAAACAGCGCCAACAGCATCATCTACGCATACACGATTCAAAGCAGCTCTTACTTTGGGTAACATAACATCGATTGGATCCATAACAGCTCGAAATCTTGATGATAAATCTTCTTGATGTTTTTTAAATATATTTTGACAACTAAAAAAATAATTATTTGACAGGAAAAGGTTAAAATGGACAAAAAAATTAAAAGAATACAAGACTTTAAAGGATTATTTTTATTATAAAACAAATATTCTTCAGAATATTACACTGTAAAAAATCATAACTACGTATCATGACTACGTATCATAACTACGTATCATGACTACGTATCATGAATTGTGAAATTAAAACTTCGTTTTATTTTATTAAATTTCTTCTGATGGCTTGAAAATAATGTTATCATTGTTTTCATTTTTGTCACGGATCTTACTTTTTATATAAATTTCCATTAAACGTATATCACTTTTATGAGTAACCTAAAATAAAAAATTTTCAGTGATATTTTCATTATTATTTAAAAACATTCACACACACGTAAACCCCTATGAAACAGAAATTATAACCTTCCAGAGGTAACTTGGTCCATCCACAAGTTTGGGACTGATACCAACATGGGTTTGCACTAGTTGTAAGCACTCAGTACCATGAATAAATTCAGTCTCACTGCACTAGCATATATATATATATATATATATATATATATATATATATATATATATATTGTTTCTATATAAATTAAATAAACAATAATACTTATTTATAATTTCCGTTTATTAGCTATAAACAATAAGATAAAAAATCATTTTTAGCTCAAGAAAAACTATTATTATTGTAATGTTTACTATATACAACGAAAATGTTTACTATATACAACGAAAATGTTTACTATATACAACGAAAATGTTTACTATATACAACAAGAAGACCTTACAGTCTTATAACTGAGCACCTCGGCAAGCATTATGTGAAAGGAAGTTCACGCCTATTTTTTTACTGATATTATAAAACTTGCTAAGAGTTGAACCACAGATCTCTAACTTTTGAGGCAAGCGCGCTAAACACTGCGCTATAGCTGGTCAATGACATATGTGCATTAAAATTCCAATAAACGGTAGGTTGTCAGTAACATACGGCTCCATTACGTTTTGAAATATATCTTTGTATTTGCATTGATCTAAATTTTCATCAATTTTGACCAGTGGACAATTACCCGGACCTCCCCAAACTTTAATTACCATACCCGGACAAAGCTCCAGGACATAGCTCTCCAAACTTTAATATTACTCCCACCGTGCTTCACTTATTTTAGAGTATACAAAGGGTTTTTTTTTGCTTAATAATATGCTAGCAAAAAAAATTCCAAAATAAAAGTGTTTTCTTTTGGAAAAGCATTTTATGGACAGATGAATTCAAGTTGATTCGCTTCAAGTCTGATGAGAAAATTTATGATAGGCGTCCTATGAAGCAAAAAAACTTTGTATACTCTAAAGACACTAAAGCATGGTGTAGAATGGTGTAGACAGCATGGTGTAGAAGCATGGTGTAGGTAATGTTAAAATTTGAACAGCATAGTATCAGTCCACTGATCAAAATTGATGGAAATTTAGATCAATAAAATACAAAGATGTATTACAAAACGTAATACTGATGATAACCTGTTACTTAGATTTTAATGCACAATAACGACCCAAAGCTGCGAGGTCTGTAAAATTTTGGCTTGAGAAAAATCAAATGAATGTTCTAGAATGGTTACCCTAAAGTTCCGATCTGAATCCGATTGAGAACTTATGAAACGATATTGGAGTGGCTTTACGAGATAAGCTAACCTTTAATTTGATTTTTAGGAGGAAATTCAAAAAGTCTGGAATGCCGCAACTCGAACTATATCAAAGGCTTGTTAACAGTATGTTATCAAGATGTGTAAGTAAGTTTACTTTTTATTTTGTAAACTTTTCAATAATTATAGTTATACTTCAGTTAAAATTTTTTTAATTGTTTGTAGCTAATAAATGGAAATTATCAGTTAATATTATTTGTTTAATTTCTCTAGTAAAGAAAGAAAATTTATTAACTCTAATAAAGAAAACATTAGGTGTGCTATTTCTGTGATCACTACTATATTAGGAATGTACCGAAGCTAAGAATTTGCCGAAGCAGAAGCTTCTGTCGAAGCCGCTTTTAATATAAATATAAAATTTCGCTGTATAAATATAAAAACTTTTATATTTATACAGCCAATCAATCAATCATTTATTTCTGAATTAAGATATTTAAGGATGATTACAAATAGTAAATTTACTAATTTAAAGTAAACACCTACCAACGTTTTTCGTTTTAGGTGTATCAAATTCGTTATAAAATCATGATTATAAGAGGAATATAATCAGACATTCTGACAAGCTCAAAGAAAAATTATTTTCTACTTTTTAGTTCGCTTGAAAAACGTTGTTTTTAGAAGAATTCATTTTTTATTGTAAATTATTTTTTATTTTTTAGATTTGTTTAGTTATTTTTTCTGCATATAATATTTTATTTTGTTGAAATTAAGAGAAATATTGACTACCGAAGCTTGAAAATGGTTTTAAATTGCATTGTCATCGGGTTCTAAGCTATCCTGAAAGTTTCAGAGCTCTAGCTAGTCGGGAAGTGGGTTAAATAAAGCTTCAAAGATTAACAGGACAATAACAGGACGGATAAACACACACACAAGAAATCAAGTTTATAAAAACGTTGTAAAAAGTAGAATAAACTGGTTTTAAAGGTTGAGAATGAATTGAGAGCTTTTAGTTCATAGGGTACCTACACTGCGTATCTAACTATATTACTTGTATTTTCAAAAAAAATTCTGGTTACTTTAAAACCTTATTCTAAAATAACCAAATATTTTAAAATAAAACAAACTTGTTTTACAAATGGAAACTAATGCAAGTTATGCAGCTTAACGTTGGCTCTAAAATGAATAACATGTTGTAAAACAATTGTTGTGGAAATAGAAACAATTTGGTTCATGCAAAAGTTGCTGAACAACAAAATTAAACAACAATTTTACATCTCTAAAATTATTGGAAAACAAGCTTTAATAATTTTAATTTTATTAGCAAAAAAACCGAAGTCGAAATTTTAGTACATCCCTACACTATATACATACATACATACATACATACATACATACATACATACATACATACATACATAGATATATACATATTATAAATATATATATATATATATATATATATATATATATATATATATATATATATATATATATATATGTATATATATATATATATATATATATATTTATAAGCAACCACTAATTAGTGTTGGAAGTTACTGGAATAGAAAAGATGAAGATTGTAGAGCAAGGTAACGATTGAGAGACGACTTAAAAGATGGCAAATTATAAGAATCAGGAAAGCAAGATAAAGGAAGCGAATTCTAAAGAACTGATGTTCGAGGAAAAAAACTAGACAAATAAAAGTTTTTGGAGCACTTAGGAACAGTAACAGAAAAAGGATGAGACTTAATTGAATGACGAGTAACACAAGAATGAATTTTAGTAGATGGCACAAGAGACGCTAGCTCATTAGAGCAGTGCCCATTATAGTATTTGTAGAAAAGAGAAAGAGAAACAACATTACGACGATGTGACAAAGGTTGAAGGTTGGCTGCAAGAGCAGGTCCAACTATGTTTACAATGCGTTTTTGCACCTTGTCTAAAAGAGAAAGGGCATTATTAGAAAATCCACCCCAGATATGGCAACAGTATTCCATACAAGGCCGGATTTGAGATTTATAGAGATAGAGAATAGAATCCAGAGTAAGAAAGTGTCGAGCTCGAAAAAGAGATGCAACGTTAGCAGATGCTAATTTTGCAACGGATTTGATATAAGATTTTCAAGAAAGATCAGAAGTAAGAGTTAATCCTACAAGATGAAGGGTAGATGACTTATCGAGTACATTACCGTTCATAAATATAGGAAGGTCTAAATTATTGCGATAACGATTGGCTAAAAAAAATTAAATTTTACCTGAATTAAAGTTCACCAGCCCACTGTGAGCTGTAGCAGAAGTGAGATCCTTTTCAAGCTCAAATGCCCCCCGCAAGCAATCAGAGGGAGTTGGCTTCTTATGCCATATTATGACAAGAATAAATGGTAGTATCATCAGCAAACAATGCCAAATCTGGAATATCGGTAATGTAAATTAAAAAAAGTATAGGACCAAGGATTGAACCTTCAGGAACCCTTGAGGTTACATATTCTGAATATTCTGAATAAAGTATTCTGAATTCTGAATAAAGTTGTTACATCAAGGATATTTACAAATAGTAATTTGTACTAATATAAAGTAAACACCTGTCAAAATAAATAAAAATAAGATGGAGATAGTAATAATAATAATTATAATACAAGTAGGAATAATAAAAGTAATAGTGATTATAGTGATAAAAAAAATAATAGTAGCGATTATAAAAAGAATATACTATAATAATAATAATAATAATAATAATAATAATAATAATAATAATTATTATTATAATAATAGCAATAATAATAGCAATAATAACAACAATAATAATAACAACAACAATAATAACAATTACAATAATATTCATTATGATAAAAATATAGTAATAATAACAACAACAGTGATAAGAGAATACTATAGAAACATATCAGTTTATAATAGTAAATTTAATAATTGATATTAAAATTAGTAATATATCACGATAGAAATGAGAAAAATTAAAAGATGAATAGAAGCACTGTAAAAAGGTATAAGATTTATAAAGAGTATTTTTCTAAAAAAGTGGTTAAAAAGAGCAGTTTTAAATTTTGAGAATGATTTAAGAGATTTTAATTGGGAAGGGAGATTGTTCCAGGTTTGTATGCTTTTATGTTGTATGGATTCGTAGCCGTAATGAACAGTTCGGTATTTAGGTACAGATAATTTAAAGTCGAGAGCAGATCGTAGAATATATTTACAGTTTTCCCTATAACTAAAAAAGTTGATAAATGTAAGAGGTAAGTTATTATGATTTTGGTTCCAAACAAATAGACAATTTGATAGCTGAATAAGGTCACACAGTTTAAGGACTTTAGATAAAAAATAGAGTATGCTACAGTTCGAATTAGTATGTTGAAAGTAAATTAATTTTAGAGCTTTGTTTTGGAGATAAGTTAGTCTTAAAAAAGCAGGCTGCTTAGATTGTCCCCAAACTTGGCAAGCATATCTGAGATGAGAGTGAAAAATAGCATGATATAAATTAAGCAAAGTTTCATGGTTAACATGAAATTTAGCTAAAATACCATTCGATCTGCTTAATTTCAATGCTAAGTCTTGAAGATGCGATGCAAAAGATAAATTAGAGTCTATTTTGATTCCAAAATATTTAATAGAGTTAACTGGATTTATTTTTTGGCCACTTAATCTGAAATTTAATTGCTTATTTATTTTTGTTTTAGCAGATTTAAATATAATAATTTCCGTTTTTTTAGAGTTAAGAGATAATTTATTGGAGCGGAGCCATTGAACAACATTAGCTAGATCGTGATTCATATTTTTGTTAAGTTTTTTAAGTGATTTATTAATTAGGAGTAAGTTGGTGTCATCCGCGAAGTGATAAGCAGTAGAAAACTTAAGAGAAACATTTAAATCATTG